GGCATGTTCGGCTGGAGTCTCGGAGAAGGAGCACACGCTTGCCTCCTGCGCGGGGAAGGGGTTACAGGAAGAGGAGCTTTGGGGGCAGTGTGCGGCCCGAGTAGCAAGGGCGGAAGGGCGTGCTGGAGAGAGGGGGGTGGGAGGTGGAGGAGCGGCAGGCAGGTGTCGAGGGCCCCGTGGGGCAGGCCTGAGCCTCCGTGCTTCCTCTGGACGCTCCGGGAGCCAGGTGAGGATTTTCAGCGGGAAGGGGCTGGGCGACGCTTTTTCACTGCTCCTCCTGGGAGGAAGGGAGGAGTGTGTCTAAGCTTCTTGGACAAAAATATGATCCTTGGTAAGGGAACGTACCAACGACGCATGTCCTAGCCCCAGGAGGGAGGGCTGCTCCAGGCTGGGGCCCCACATGGGCTTAGTTTGTCTTCACGGAGGAACCTGGGACCGTGGGGTTTGATGGGGTCACTCGTACCTCCTGCGGGGGCTCGCAGTCACAACCTCTGGCTCCCATTAAGAGTGGGAGTTAATCCCGGCATATGCCACACGAAGGCAACGCTGGCAGAAAACATCAGTGTCCTTGAGCTTTACTTTAAGCTGTGCTGCTACAGGCCAGTGCTGAGGTCTGGGGAGGTCCGTTGGAGCGAGGGGTGGTCGCTCAGCAGGGCATTCAAAGGAATGGCAGCCATTCCAGACTGCGGTCACTACGGAAGCAGGGTCTGGCCTCTGAAGGCCTCTGCGATGCTTTGGAAGAAGGCGTCGGCTCTGTAGCGGACACTCCTGGCTGGGGAGACGGGCAGGTTCTGGAGACATGAGGGGTGGAGACCGGGACTAATGCTGCCCCAAACCTTCATGCCTGGGTGGCAAGAAAGGCTTGCTGAACGCTTGCCCTTTGAATTGTGTTTCGCTTTTGCAGATGGTGGTCTTGGAGACTGGGGTGAGGGTTGGGGAGAGAGAGGTTCTTGGACAAGAAAATGTAGCATGGGTCATGGATCTCAAGGTGCCCCAGAGTGACAGGTCTTCTGCACTCTCACACTCCCCACCAGACGTCCATGACCCTGCAGTGGCACTTGTACGAGATGGCACGCAACCTCAAGGTGCAGAACATGCTGCGGGCGGAGGTCCTGGCTGCGCGGCGCCAGGCCGGGGGAGACATGCTCGCCATGCTGCAGCTGGTCCCACTCCTCAAAGCCAGCATAAAGGAGACGCTGAGGCAAGCCCACGGCCACTCTTGTCCCCCCACCCCCACCCACTGGGCAGGGCCAGGGTGGTACACGGCAGAGGGTTATAAGGATGGGCTGGGGGAGGAGATGGGAAGCAGGAAGTGGGAAGTCCGGAGGAGACAGCTGGGAATGGGGAGGGGGAGATAGAGCCCAGGTCCTGCCTGCACACTCCCCTGGGCTGCTGCAGGTGGGGCTGACATGCCTCGCTGGGTGTGGGACTTGGGGGTGGGGGGCTGTGTCCAGGCTTCAGGGCCATCAGCTTCTGAGTGCCCTCCTCCTGCAGACTGCACCCCATCTCCGTGACCCTGCAGAGGTATCTTGTGAACGACTTGGTTCTTCAAAACTACCTGATTCCCGCCAAGGTAGGTGCAGCGAGGAGGCTGCAGGAGGGGCTTAGACAGAGAGGGCTGGGGGCAGGCTGTGAGTACAGACAGAGGGTGGCGTGGGGACTTGGTGGGGCCTGCGGCAGCAGTAATCCAAGTTTGAATGAAGGGCAGAGGTGGCGGGCACGGTGGCTGATGACCTCTGGAATGCTCAGGAGCCCAGGGTTAGGAGGGAGACCTCGTGTCTGCCTGAGTCTCAGGGGGCCCGGGGGCTGAGGAAAGGGTAGAACAATCCCTTGGGTCATCCCAGCCTGTGTCTTCGGCCATCCCTATTTGGTGGGTGAGGCTAAGGGAGGAGTGGAACCTTGTTCGGGGTCACACCGTGGGCGGAATGTCCTGCCCTGCATATCTGGGCAGCCACACTGGGGAGCAGGGCAGGGGTGAGCGAGCGGGCCCGGGGGAGCTGGGTGTTGTGCTCAGGGCTGTGGGCAGGTGGCCTACTCAGGCCTCTGATTACCTTGCCCCAGACATTGGTGCAGGTGTCCATCTACGCCCTGGGCCAAGAACCCAAGTTCTTCCTCAACCCGTGGAATTTTGACCCAACCCGATGGCTGAACAAAGACAAAAACATCACCCACTTCCGGAACCTGGGCTTTGGCTGGGGTGTGCGGCAGTGTCTGGGCCGGCGGATCGCTGAGCTTGAGATGACCATTTTCCTTATCCATGTGAGTCAAGCTCCGGGACCCCTGGGCTGACGTGGCCCTAACAGAGGTGCCGGACCTCCTCCTCCCGTCTGTCGGGGCCTGGGAACGCCGGGCTGGCCGGGCACATCGGCCTCTGATGACTTGCCCTGGCTCTCTCCCACAATTCCCTGCTGCCCCTTCTTTTGGGCTCTCCCCTCTATACGCACTGGTGCCCTCTGGCCATCCCTTCCACACCGGGAGGTGGGGCGGGCCTAGGGCTTTGCAGGCTAGTTAAGGTCAAGCCCTAAATCAAGGGACCAGAACACCAATGGTGCATCTTCAGCACGTGCAGGGTTGATGAGGCTGGTAGTAAGCCCCTCGGCTCCTCAAATCACAGCCAATAGGCACTGCCAACCGGTGAATGAGTCTGGCCTAGGGAGACGGACTCTCCCCTGACCTCCCCTAACCCCACCACCTGCCTTTCTCAGATGCTGGAGAACTTCAGAGTTGAAATCCAAAGTCTCAGAGACGTGGGCACCACGTTCAACCTCATCCTGACGCCCGAGAAGCCCATTGTCTTCACCTTCCGGCCCTTCAAGCAGGACGCAGCCCTGGCGTGATCAGAGACGGGGGCCAGCAGCCATGTGGGAGGAAGGCAGGGGCAGGGCCCATGGAGTCTCTGCATCTTCAGTCCTCTGTCCCCAGCCGTGCTGCCTCTGCCAGCTGCTGAGCAGGTGGACTGGGCTCTCAGTGGTCGCCTGCCCGAGCTCACGAAGACAATAAACGCTGAACCGTGTGGTGTTTTCATTTCCATCAGACTCCTAAGGGGTTCATTGCTCCCGTGGAGATGTTCCCGGACCCTGGGTCAACAGTGGGGTCTGGGGCATGCTCGGGGGATCAAGGCAGGACACTTGAAGACATCTTTGCTGTGACCCACCCACCCACAGCAGCTCAGGTGCCAGCAGGACCAGCCTCCAGGCTCCCTGGGGCTGGGGTGAGGTGGGCGGGCAATTGCCACTGTGCTGGGAGCTACAGAAGCATTGGGCAGAGGGACAAAGGAGCGGGCAGGGTTCTTCAGAGAGAGCAGGGTGGCTTGAGGAGTGTGGGCCAGTCCTGCTTTCCTGGGTGGGCCCACCTGGCAGGGGTGAGGCTCGTGCAGGGCTCTGCTTGGCCGAACCCTGGGTGGGAGTCCCTTGTGGGATCATGAGGACATCCTACCAAGGCCTAGGTAGAGAATTGGGCATGGCCAGGACCAAGGGCTATGGGAGAGACACCATGTCACCGAGGTGCTGGTGGGAGGTGACTGGCTCTGGGGACGAGAGGCCAGCATGCTTCCGCTACTCCTCTTGACTTTCCTCTGGGCTTGCCCCAGGCGTCATCTTCTTGCTCCAGAGAAATGTGCCCCCTTGCCCAGGCTCTGGGCAGCAAGCAGGGAGACCACAGCAGTCCTCAGTGCCTGGTCTGCACTGTAGGACTCTGGTCTCAATTTCAGCTCCCTTAACTCCCTCTGAATTCTGCATCTCCTGACCCGATTCTTCCTGATCCTTGGCTAAGTGTGTCTAAGCCCTGCAGGGACAGGGGAGCTAGTCCAGCCCAGGACAGTGGTCTGGCTGGCTTGGCCTCTCCTACCAATCTGCAGGTGCTGGGTCCACTCTGGAAGGCTTCTTCTTTCCCCACCACACAACCTTCTTCCTTGTTGTCTTTCTCTCTCCTTCCTGTTTCCTTTCTCTTCTCTGGGCTTGAGTCAGCTTTCACTCAGAAATGTTACAGCCTTACTGCAAAAGAGGTCAAGCTCTGCATGGGACAGATGGGGAAACTGAAGCCCAGAGAGGTTGCTTGGGTCACCTGAGGTCATACAGCATACTTGCAGCTAAAATCCAGGCCTCCTGACTCTCAATGGGGGTCCTTCTTCTCCTGGTCCCATCTACTTTCTTGTCCCTGGTGACATTTTGACACAACACTGCCAGCTTGGCCCAGCCGTGGTTAATGGGATATCTCACGCTGATTTGTAATTGGTTGCTACAGCAAGGCTCCAAGTCTTGCCCTTCTCAAGAGCCAGATAAACCAAACTTGAAAGAAGGGACTTCAAGTCAGGCGTGGTGGCTCATGTCTGTAATCCCAGCACTTTGGGAGGCTGAGGTGGGAGGATCGCTTGAGGCCAGGAGTTCAAAACCAGCCTGGGCAACACAGCAAGACCTCATCTCTACAAAAAATAAAAAAATTAGCTGGGTGTGGTGGTGCACGCCTGTAGTCCCAGCTACTCGGGAGGCTGAGGTGGGAGGATCGGTTGAACCCAGGAGTTCAAGGCTGCAGTGAGGTATGATTGCAACACTGCGCTCCAGCCTGGGCAACAAAGCAAGACCCTGTCTCTAAAAAAGGGACTTCAGACATGATAGATGTTTTAGGGTAGATGGAAAGTCCTAGCCTTCCTCATGTCTCCCACAGAGCTGGCCTCTGGTGGCCTCAATTCTTCGGGAGGTCTAGGAGGGGCTTGTTTCCCTGGCTCCTGCTTCGGAAGTCCCCCTCTCTTCACTGTCCTGGGTCCACTGTGGCTCTGTGCATCTTTTCGAAGACGCTAGCTCCTGGGACAGGCAGGAGGCTGTGAGGCTGCCGCTGAGGGCCCAGACCACATTCGGGGTCTGGGAGGAGAAAGCTGGCCCCCAGGCTGCCCCACCCCAGGAAAGAGGTGGACGCCGGGAGCTGCAGCATTTATTATAACAAAGTCATTTTTAGGGGTTGGGGTGAGACTGTCCAGCACACAGGGAAGGAGGCCTGCTCGGTGATCAGACCTGCTGAGAGTCAGGAATCTCCTGGGAGCTCGAGGGCTTGTTGAGCTTAGTGTCCAAGCTGGGCATCACGGGCTCCAGTTTTGGGGGCCGCTTCAGGTCCTTGGATTGGGCGGAGGCAATCTGCGGTATGCAAAGAAAGGCACGTGAGCGTGCCCCATTCTCGGGGGGACCTGTCCAAGGGCATCCTGCCTGGCAAGCCATGCCTTAGAGGGTCCAGAACCTGGTGGGCCATGGCTTCTCAAAGGTTTCTAAACCCATTTGATCACAGCAGGTGACAATTCCTCCATGAGTCCCCAGGGCTCAGGTGCGTTTGCAAGGGTAGCCCTGTATTCCCTGTCGCTTCCCCTTTCCTTTTCAGGCTTTTCCCAGGAGCCACAGCCTCTGGCCCTGGGCAAAGTACCGCTGGCTTAGGAGCAGAAGTCAGGGGCTTTGCTGGGGGGCTGAGCCCGAGGGGCCGCTGGGAGCAGGCCTGCCTCTTCCCGCGATGCCAGCAGAGCGGAGCCGTCTGCAGCCAAGGCCGCCTACGAAGGGAAGGGTGTGCTAACGGCAGAGTCCCCGGCGCCGTGGGGTGTGGGGCACGGGCTGCTCTGCCATGAGCAAAGTCAGTCCTGAAGCACAGGCAGTGCCAGGGCACCGTCACCCACAGTCATCTCCGCCGTAGTTTCACGGCACCCGTGGGGGAAGGGCTGGTTTTGGCAGGGAGTTTCTGTTTCCCTCAGACAGGCGGGGGAATCGAGACCAAGAAAGGCCTTTAGATGGTAACACAGCAGGAACTGGCACGCAGGACGGTTTCTCTCAGGGCCCGGTGTCCTGGGGGGCAGGGTGGGAGGGCCCCAGGAGCTCCTCCACAGGGGTCACTCACTGGCTGTGCTAGGGTGATGGAGTTTGAGGGGTGCCTGAAACCATTTTCTTGCTCCTGCAGCCGTGTGGCCAAGTCCTGCTTCTCTCGTCCCCAGCGTCGAGCTGACTCCTCTAGCTGCAGACAAAGAGAGGGACGGTTGGAGGACCAGTGGGCAGCAGGGCTCATCTCTGACAGCTGGGACAACCAGGGCCTGAGCCTGCTCTCCAGGCAGAAAGCAAAGCTCTGGGCAGTGTGCGCTCGACGTCTTCCCAAGAGACCTCTGGGGTAGCAGGGCTGAGGGTGAGGGGCCAAATGATAAGACACAGATGGACCTTCTCTGCATTCCAACGGGGTTCTGAGCCCTGATCCCCAGTCCACACTGATCTGTGACTCTGGGCACAGACTGAGCCTGACCCTGGTGACACACTGACCCTGTCCCTGGTCACACGCTAAGCCTGACCCTGCTCACAACTGACCCTGTTTCTGGTCACACGCTCACCCTGACCCTGCTAACACACTGAGCCTGACCCTGCTCACACACTGAGCCTGACCCCGGTCACACACTGAGCCTGACCCTGGTCACACACTGACCCTGTCCCTGCTCACACACTGAGCCTGACCCTGCTCACACACTGACCCTTACCCTGCTCACACACTGACCCTGACCCTGCTCACACACTGAGCCTGTCCCTGCTCACACACTGAGCCTGACCATGGTCACACACTGACCCTGACCCTGGTCACACACTGACCCTGTCCCTGATCACACACTGACCCTGACCCTGCTCACACACTGAGCCTGACCCCGGTCACACACTGAGCCTGACCCTGGTCACAGGCTGTGTGGTGAGTCCGGCCTAGCCTGATCCAGGCCTGCGCCTCACCCACCTGGTTCTCCAGGGACAGGATGCGGCTCTGAGCTAGTTCCAGCTTGGCCAGGAGGTTAAACTTGTCTGAAGAATTGCCGAGGAGATCCTGTGGGCAAAGCAGAACTCGTGTGTGGCCTCCGCTGGGGGCTGCTGGCCCGGGGAGCTCAGGAAGCCACGAGGACTGAGGGGGAGACTAGCCGGTCCTGAGTTCGGAACTCGGCTCCCGGGCAGAGCCTCAGCCCCACTGCACCCTCTCCCTGAAGTCCAGAAGGGGCCTGGCACGTGCTTTGGCCACAGCTGTTTCCCCCGCAGATTTCGGGTACGTGCAGTTTTCACACATCCGTGTTTAGATGTGAACTACGCCAGGAAGCTCCCTCTGGTGCACGGAAGAGAACCTGGAACGGGGGTCTTTTTGCGGAGAGAAGAGTCTGTGGAGCCAGGCCCTCTCTCACACTTCACCCGACGTCCACGCCGGTGTGCTTCCCGACAGAACTCACCCCGCGGGGCCTGGCATGCAGAGAAAAACTCTCCCGAGCCCCCGCCCCAGCCCTCTTCTACAATTCCGAGGTTCCGTCTTTGGGTCTGTGTCAAGCAGAAGGTACCTGGAGCAGCCTTGGAAGCAGGGCGGGGCCTGGGCGTTCCTGGGCCCTGGGACACCCACCTGTGTGGGCGGGGTCTCTGTGCACTTGGAGTGGCCTGGGCCATCCGTCTCTGGCAGCCTCTCTGCTAAGTCTCCTCCTGCTCCCAACTCCCCGGGGTCCACCTGGGATGGGGAAAAGGGCTCTCCAAGGCCGCGCCAATCCCAGGAAGTGCTGCAGAAGGGAGTTCTGAGAGGCCTGCGTGGAGTCCAGGTGGAGCCCAGCCGGCACAAGGGTCAGGGTTTAAGGACCGAGGGTCAGCTAGGGGCTTGCTTTCTAGGGTGCTAGCGGGGGTGAAGGTGGAGGTTGCAGGTACCTGTGTTCCCCAGGAGGAAAAGAGCAAGGCCTGAGCGCTCAGATTCCAGGAGACTCCAGGCAGATTGGAGACCCTGGGAAGCCGAGCTCCTGGTCTTGCTCTTCACCTTGGACTGTGTCGTGAGTGATTGCTGGGCACCCGGTGACCGGCACAGGCAGAACCAGGCCAAGCCCCTGCAGGCGGCTCTTACCGGCAGGGCCTGCTGCTGCAGGATGATGGGGGCTGACTGGTGGCGGTTCTTGTCCAGCTCTGCCCGCAGCCTTGAGTTTTCTGCCAGCAGCACCGAGTAAAGGTCACCCGGCAGGTTCTCTCTGGTAGAACCCAGGGGAAGGCCAGAGGCTGAGAGCATGGGTAAGGCTGCGGGCAAGGCCACAGATGCTGGTGAGATGGGCTTTCCTGCCTCCGTGTCCCTGCCCTGATCTGCCCCAGCATTTTGCTCCGATCTGCCCCTCCTCTGCTCCCAAGCCTCCAGTGGCTCCCTACTGCCAGCGGGATAGGGCCCACACTCCTCAGGCTGTCCTTCTAGGCTGTTTGCCTAGGTTGCCTTCCTGGTCTCTCACCCAGACTCCCGATGACCTCAGTGGCCCTGAAAGGCTGGCCCAGCTTTCTAGAGACCTTTAGACCCCCTCATACCCACTGCCATGAAGGCTGAGCATAGGGCTGGCTGCAATGGGGCCGTGGTGAGGCTGGACAGGTGGGCTCCGGGAAGTCCCTTGCTTTGGGCTGGCCTGTTACGGTGGCACCTCGTTCTTTCCTGCTTATCAGAGCCACCTCTGACTGGCAGTTCTAGGTGGCTTTGGTTAAATCAATGGGGAAAAAAAACCTCTGACAAATCACTGATTTAATCAGTGATTAAATCAGTAAGTTTGTTTGCTTTGCAGAGACAGAATCTCTGAAGATACGGGGAGATGGGGAAACGATTCGAAGCGTCCTGGAATTAGAAGCTGGGAACCGCTGCCTGGAGGACGCCCCTCTCTGCTCTAGTCTGCAGGGTCCTCCCCGGGGGAGGTCCAGCCTCCTTCTAGCCTGGCTCACACACTGTGTCCCAACTGTGTCCTGAGGGGCTTCCAGGGAAGGAGGGAGCCCAGGGGACCTCTGGAAGTCTCAGGGCCACAGTGAGTAGGGCAGCGGCGTGATCCCGGGTCTCCTAGACCCACAGAGGTAGCGGGCGTGGGGGCCCTCTGCGCAGGAAGGCAGGGCCGCCAGGGCAGGGGCAGAGCTGGGTGCAGGTTCACTCACGTTGCCTGCTGGGAGGCAGCGGCTCGGTCCTCTCCCGCAGCCGGTCCTGCAGCACCTGCTCCATCTTCTCGATCACCTGGAGGGCAGGGCAGAGACCTGGCTGGCTGGGAGGCTCCGCACCCTGCTGTCACTGGGGGGGCCTCTGGGGGCGGCCCCTCTGGCACCTGCCTTCTCCTGGTGCCGCACGGTCTCCTCCAGCGCCCTCATCTTCAGCAGCTTGTCCTGGTACCGTTTCAGCAGCGCCGCCTTCGGCTGCTGGGCCTGGTGCAGAAGGAGCAGCTCCTTTTCTCGGTCATTCTTCTGCGAGGGAGGAGGAGGGAACAGGTGCCTGGAGTCCCCCTTGTCCCCTCTGCTGAGTCCTCCACCGGGCTGGGCCCCCTTCCCTCTGCCCCTCCTGCTCCCACATACTTCTGCCCCCCGCGCTCCCCGCCCGAGCCCCAGCTCACCCGAATCAGCTCGTTCTGCAGGTGCTGCACCTTGTCCCTCAGGTTCTTCACGTTCACCTCGCTCAGCAGCAGCTTCTGCTTCAGGGACACTGCCGGGCGGGTGCGGGAGCCAGCTCAGGGAGGGGCCTCTCTTTGCCCAACTCGGCTCTCGGCCCTGGGGCCTGAGACAGGACTGCATTCTCTGTTTCCTCCCCGAGAGGACCCAGCGGGGCAGGGGAGGGGTGAGTGTCCGTGGGCATGGGGGGCTCCTACTAGCCCAAGTCCAGCTGCACGCACATCTGGGAAAAGCTCCCTACCACCCTGTCGCACAACCCAGCCACAGAGATGCCCTCGGTGGCTGTACGTCCTCACCCAGGCTGTGGGCCTCGTGGGCTTTGCCCTGCCCGTCTTCCAGCTCCTGCTGGGCCAGCTGGCTCCTCAGCATGCGGTTCTCCCCCTCCAGCATGCTGGCCTGTTTCCGCAGGGACAGGATGTCCTCCGCCATCTTCTGCATGGCCCGCCGGTAGTTGTTCATTTCCTGTGGATCCCAGAGTCCAGAGCTGAGCCCTCCGTCCCACGGGAGCCCGCATCCCACTTCTGCACCCACACTTGGAGGTCAGTGGGTCACGCCCAAGGCCAACGAGCAGCATGAGCCCAAACCATGCCCCCAAGTCTCAGCAAGTCTCCGGAGGGGTGGTTATGACTGGGTCCTCGTGCTCCTGGCCATGACTGGCGGCTGCACTGATGTTCTCTCCCAGGGGCCACGTCACGTCCCACGATACCAGCTTAGGGGGACCCGGGGCCCAGACACAGGGGAGGGAGACTATGGGCAGCAGAGACTTGAAGTGATCTGGGCCAGGTCCCCAGAGTCTAAGGCACAGCAACTTCTTAGCCTTCCCCTCCTTCCATTCCCTCTTCTGGCTCCTCTCTCCTCACAGCGCTGAGGACCTGGGGAAGAACCTCTCAGAAATTCCACTGGACGCAACTTGGGAGCTGACCTTGGCCCCAGCCCCCAACAGCCTAGCGGTCAGGAAAGGATCCACACTAGGCCCAGGAGCCCCAGGCAGGGACCCAGGGTGGAGTTGGGATCCTGCTACAAGATGTGGGTTGCAAGGTGGGGGCCAGAAAGCTGGACTCGGTCTTTAGGTTAGGAGCAAACAGTAATCCTGGGACTGCAAACTAGTGCAACCTCTGTGGAAAGCGATATGGAGATGCTTCGAAGAGCTACAAGTAGATCTACCATTTGATCCAGCAATCCCATTGCTGGGCATCTACCCAAAAGAACAAAACACATTCTATAATAAAGACATCTGCATTCGAATGTTTATAGCAGCACAATTCACAATTGCAAAGATGTGGAAACAACCCAAGTGCCCATCAATATATGAGTGGATTAATAAAATGAGGTATATCTATACCATGGAATACTATTTAGCTACAAAAAACAATGGTGAGGGCTGGGCGCGGTGGCTCACGCCTGTAATCCTAGCACTCTGGGAGGCCGAGGCGGGCGGATTGTTTGAGCTCAGGAGTTCGAAACCAGCCTGAGCAAGAGTGAGACCCCGTCTCTACTAAAAATAGAAAGAAATTAATTGGACAACTAAAAACATATAGAAAAAATTAGCCGGGCATGGTGGCGCATGCCTGTAGTCCCAGCTACTCGGGAGGCTGAGGCAGAAGGATTGCTTGAGCCCAGGAGTGTGAGGTTGCTGTGAGCTAGGCTGACGCCACGGCACTCACTCTAGCCCGGGCAAAAGAGTGAGACTCTGTCTCAAAAAAAAAAAAAACAATGGTGATTTGGCACCTCTTGTATTATCCTGGATAGAGCTGGAACCCATTTTACTAAGTGAAGTATCCCACGAATGGAAAAACAAGCACCACATGTACTCACCATCAAATTGGTAATAAGTGACTTAACTGACCAACACTTATGAGCATATATATATGTGCATACTATATGAATATAGTAATAACATTCATTGGGTGTCAGGCAGGTGGGAAGGGGAGGAGGGGATGGGTATATTCACACCTAATGGGTGCAGGGTGCACCGTCTGGGGCACGGACGTGCTTGAAGCTCTGACTCAGGCGGGGCAAAGGCAATATATGTAACCTAAACATTTGTACCCCTGTAATATGCTCAAATAAAAAAAAAAGGAGTATCAGTAATCCTAACATCTGAAGTTCACTGAGCATTTACTATGTCCCAGGGCTGCTTCTGAACGTTTCATGTGTGCTCCCTCGGTCCTCAGGACAAGCCTGTGAGGTGGGTGCTAAAATCATCCCCATTTCCTGAAGGGGAAACCAAGACCCACAGAGGTGGGTACCTTGCTTGGTTACCAAACTCCCAAGTGGCAAAGCCAACCTCTGGAATCCCGGTCTGCGGGGCCTTCGGCCCGTGTTCTTAAGCACTGTGCGTCCTGCCATGGTGCACTCAGACACGGACGCTTCTTAGCGTTGGCAAGGGATCAAAGCAGTACAATGCCAATTTGGGAAAAGATTCATGTTTGCTCATTTGTATACATAGGAAGATTCATGAGCTATATTGATATGCCTTCGTTTTATAATCAAAAATGATAAAAAGCTCGGTGAAGGGAGTTTCTTACATCTGAACAGCACCATAGGAAAGGCAATCCCAAACGAAGCCCCAAGGTCTGCGTAGAAGAGGAGGCGGCATGAGCAGGGAGGAGGGACGTGGAGCAGGGAAGTGAGTTTGCTCAGGAGTTGCTGAGTCCTGGTGGCCTTGGGCTTCTTGAAGCTGAGGGAGACCTCACACCCGGGGGTGGGGGCTCGTGCCCCCGGGGAAGCAGAGCTCTGCCCCCAGATCCCACCTGGGCTCCATGCTGACTGCGGATGTGGCCTGGCTACCCCGCCACTGCCTCCCACCTGCTGCACGGCAGGCCTCGGCTTCTAAGGGAGGGGTCCCCAGACAGCAGGGGCTCGTCAGATGCCACTTGTCACCTGCCACTGTCTAGCCTTCTGGCTGGGCTCCCTCTAACTGGTGCCTGTGCCAGGTCCCTCTCCCCGGCACCTGCCCCAGCCGAGTTCCAGGTCTTGGCTCCTCCAGACCTGCCCATCTGGTGTCCTCAGACAGCACCGTCAACTGGGACACTCAGACCGGGGACCACACACACACTCAGGGCTCTGCGGGCAGCCCAGATCAGAAGCCCAGCGTGGCCCTTCACCTTCCGAGGCTCAGAGTCCTCTTACAGGAGACACCCGGGGTCGCTGCAGGGTCAGAGTCCGTGTGGGAAGCCCCTGCCCAGGCAGGTATAATGCGGAGGCTGCTGTTCTCATCCCAACCCGTTTCTGTTCTAACGGCTGCTTCAGTCAACAGGTCAGACCCCTTCCTCTTCCTCCTTGCTGCCCCCAGACTCCCCGCCCCTCCTCGGCTGTGCCCCGCATCTTCAATTTATGGTGTCCCATAACCGAGCAGGGCTTGAAAGCCCCAGCAGACTGGCTGGAGGAAGCCCATGGTATTTTGGCAAAGGAAATTTGTCCCCTCCTTCTCCAGCCTGGTTCAAACTCTCACATGTCTGCTCTGGACAATGACAACAGCAACCACGTGGGTTTCTCATCTTCCAGGGTTATCGCCTAGATACACACACACACACACACACACACACACACACACACACGCCCAAGGAAACACGTTCAAGGGTGCTCACTGCAGCGCGGTTTGTGGTCTCATACTGGGGCACGCTCAGCCTCCGGACTGCAGGTGTAGCTACAAAGAATGACCCAGATTTAACCGCGCTGACACAGAGGGATGGCCACGCTCTATTGTGAAATGAAGAGCGAATTACTATGATCTCATCCAGAACCGGGACATATGTGTGCACTCGGAGCATCCAGGAAGGGGCTGCCCGCCCCTGGGCCTATCCCCCGGGTCTGAATCTGATCACCCCCTCTTCTCATTCAGGGGCTCATCCTTTCTAAGGACCCCACTGTTCTCCAACTCAGCTGTCCTGGGGTGAGCATACCCTGTAACTAACATCCGCCCTTGGCAGAGGAAGAAAGCTGGGCCCAGGATGAGAAGGGAGAGGGAGGGAGAGCATGGTGTCCCTGACTCGGCCAGATAGTCCCTGCTGAACTCCAGCCCTCGGAGACTAGCCCTGTGGGCCTTCCACAGCTCCCTTCCCCCCGCCCCCAGCCTGGCTGTGCTCTGAGAGTGGGGGCCCCCAGGGTGATGGAGGGGGACCTTGGCCCTGGCCCCTCGGTCTCTATCCTGGCCAGTGCTCCATGTTCATGGGAACCGTGTGGGCCCGTCCTCCCTCCTCAGCTTCCCTCCTCCCTTCCCCTGCGCAGTGGGGACCTTGGGCAGCACAGCTGGCTTGGGAGACCACAGCCTACAGGTGGGCAGCCCTGACCTCTGCCTGCAGCTGGAGCTGGGCTCTCCATCCAGGGCCATGCTCTGCGTCACAGCCCAGCCTTGAGAACACGCAGGACACCGCCCCAGATTCCTGCTGTGGTCCTGCCCCCGCCATGCCTGCTCCCCCCACCCAGTTCCCAGCCTGCTGGGGGAGGGGCAGGATGCCAGTCCCTTCCGTCTTGTCTCTGGGCTGGCACGTTCTCTGGGGCACCGATTCCAAAGCCACTGTGCCTGTGCCTGAGTGCCCATCCCATCCTCCTGACCCACCACCACCAGGAGCCGGGCTCTCAGAGGTGAGAAATACGAGGTGGCTGTAGGCTCGAATTACCCCCCTGCCACTGAGCACTGGCGGCCTTTGCTGCACCGGCACCTCCTCTTTGGCTCTGGAAGGGGGCAGGTGTTCTCTGAGCCTCAGCATCCTCATCTGTGGAATGCGAAAACCAGCCCCCTCAGTGGGGGTGCTGCGGGTGAGAGGGGCTGAGAGGAGGGCCAGCCCAGGCCCTGGCACCTCGGGTGCCTGGCAACGGTAACTCGCTTCCCTGTGCCACCCTGGGAGTGCCTTCTTTTAAACAATTATTCTTGTAAGAGCCCTGGGCACTGGGCACAGAGGTGTGATTGTGGGACTACTCTCGTCTTGCAGAGCTGAGGCCCAGTCTCCACTAAGGAGGAGGCGGTGATTATCTTACCAAAGCCTGGCGGGGGCGAGGCGAGAAGCAGCCCCCTAGTAAGAAGCACGTGTGGTGGAATCGGGGCACCTTGGCCAAACATGTCTGTGGCTGCCACCAACTACACTGATCGCAAGGACCCTGTAACCTCATTGTACAGGCGGGGAAACAGGCTGGAAGTGGTGTTCCCAAGGTCACAGAGGCTCAGTATTAAGCCCATGCTGGAAGTAGCACAATAACCCCCCAGTCACCAACACTTGCTGAGTGCCATGTGTGCCAGCTCTGTCTGTGCCATGCTGCACCATGGAGCACAGATGGGCCTAGACCATCCCTGCCTGCCCTGGTCTCCCATCTACACTGAGGGGACAGCAATGACATCTGTGACAGAGGGGAGCTTAGAAGAGGTTCTTTCCCAGTCTGGGCATCCTGGAAGGCTTCCCGGAGGTGGTGACGACCTGAGCTGACTCGGAGAGGATAAGGATAAGGATAAAGGGGTGGAGAGA